TAGGCACCTTACATTGTGTTAGTAACCAAACCAAACCAAGCCAAAACAAAACTCACTGCCAATTGCCAATAGTCAATGCTGACTCAGCGACCCTATTGGGCAGGGTAAAATTGCCCCTGTGAGTTTCTGAGACAAGAACAACTCTTTACAGCAGTAGAAAGCCTCATCTTTCTCCCGAGGACTGGCTGATGGTTTCCAACTGCTGACCTTGCCGTTAGTAGGCCAGCCTATAACTAGTATACCACCAGGGCTCCTAAATGTTAATAATGAAATATGACCACTAATGGTCAAAGCCACCGTCCAGCTGTCAGTCTGTCTTATGTGGCGGATGGTGTGTTGTCAGGCTGCTGCGAACTAGGCCATTGGTGTTTCAAACACCAGCAGGGTCACTCACGCTGCACAGGTTTCAGCAGGCCTAGACTAAGTTAGGCCAGGAAGAAAGGGCTGGCCATCTAATTCCAAAAATAAGCCAATGAAAACTCTGTGTATCACAACAGAATATTGTGTAGTATAATGCTGGAAGATAAGCCCGCCCTTCCCCCTGCACACCCCCAGGTTAGAAAGCACTCACGATACGGAGTCCCGGTGACCATGGGCTCGATTATGTTAACAACTGTGAAGGTGGCACAGGCCCCAGCGGCATGTTGCTCTGTTGCACTCAGAGGTGACCCGACCGCAGCTAACAATAACAATGCCAGAGATAGCTCAATCTCAATGTATCTGGAGAGACAAACCATTGTATGAGAATAATTAAACAACCATCGACGACCTCTTGAGGTAAAAGGAGTCCCAGTAAAAAGAGAGGTGCCTGCAGAACTGAGGAATCCATTAGAGCTTCAGGGAGAAAGGGCATCTAACTCCGAGTTGAAAGGCTGAAAACTTAAGCAACAAGAAAATGACAATTCCCATCCGGAAAGGGAAATGGCTTTTTAAATGGGACAGGAGGTAGCAAGGGTTTTGGTTTTTTTAAGAAATCATTTTGTTGGGGGCTGTACAACCCTTATCACAATCCACACAGAGATCCATTGTGTCAAGCACATTTGTACATTTGTTGCCTTCATCATTCTCAAAACATTTGCTTTCAAGTTGAGCCCTTGGTATCAGCTCCTCATTTTCCCCCTTCCCTCCCCACTCGCCCTTCCCTCATGAACCCTTCATAATTTATCAAAATAATAATAATTTACAAATTAGCAAGGTTTTTGAGGACCAATGAGACCATCTTCAAAGTCAAGGAAGTTTCATGTGACCTTCAAGACAACACAGATGGCTCCTGAAACGAGCAAAAAGTATATTTTTAATAGAAGATAGCAAGCCAAGTAAAGCAATGATTTGGAAGGGATTCTCTGCCAATGATAAGGCAGGATTAATTAGAATATGAAAAAAAACTGGATTAAAGTCAGAATAGTGGGCTACGGGGTGGGCTGTCAGCAGTTCAAACCTACAAGGGCTTTGTGGGAGAAAAATGAGGCTTTTTTCTCCCTGAAAGATTTGCTGTCTCAGAACCCCATCAGCGCAGTTCTATTGGGTCATTAGGAATCCAAATGGACTCTGTGGCTGTGAGTTTGAGCTTTTATTTTAGCTTAAATGAAGTAACCATTCTCTCTCTCTTTCTCCTTCAGCTTAAAAGTTGGGTTAATTCTCTTAACTGTCTATTTAAGGGGTATGTATATATTCTGACTGCTGTGAATAACTTTCTTCTTCTTCTGATTGTCGCTGCTATCAATGCTTATTAAATCATTATCTTCTTGGAACTTCTAGCTCAGAAGCAGATTCAATAGAGGGTAGTTAAGGAAGATACTTGACAAGTATCCCTTTTCTTTTACCATTGTCCTTTCCAGAGGAGAATGCCCTTTCTACTTAATCCCTCTCACCGCGGCCACCCATCTGTCTTCTCTTATGCAACCTTCCCATCACACACAGGTATGTACACATGCACACCACTCTGGGTGACAGCTGACTCTGTGCTTCTACAATCGTCTCTATCATGCTGTACCATTTTACTACTCTCAAAGGAAAGTGTGAGTTGCTGGGGAGCAAGGTCGTCCTCTTTTCTTCTTGTGTCCCTGGTTTCTGGCGTGAACCACATGCACAGCCATGTTGTGTTGAAAGAAAAGAATTGTGATACTCTCACTAAGCAGTTACCTGCTCTTTGTTCTCTGAGGCCTATGCAAAGCTAAGCAATTCTCATGTGTGTGCCTAGATGTATAGGTACTAGGACTTGATTGGTGGGGAGAGATGGATACAGTGGAGAAACAGAAGGAAAAGAGAGGTGACATGAGCGTGCTCCCCCAAAACCCCAACTGAAAAAAGTAGTTACCTACTCCCAGGGTCCATTTCAGCTCACTGGTATCGGCCATTTGGAATCAGAAAACCATATGATTTAGTCTGCCAGGAATGATACCATCAAGAGGCACAGTGTGGCACTTACTGTCAAAAAGGACACTACAATATCAACCTTGAAGTACAATGCTGTCTATGTTAGGATTGTCCCCTTCCACCTCCAAGGAAATCCAATCAACACAGCTTTTCTTCTAATTTACACACCAACACCAAGCTAGTGATGAAGTTGAAGAATTCTATCAATGATTTCTGACAGAAATTGATCAAACTGCAATTAAAGTGCATTGATAATGACAGGCAATTGGAATACAAAAGTTGGAAATAAAGAAGGAGGAACAGTAGTTGGAAAATTTAGGCTTGGTGATAGAAACGAAGCTGGAGATCAAATGATGGAGTTTTGCAAGACCAACAACTTGTTAATAGCAAATAACTCTTTTCAACAACACAAAAAGTGACTATAGTTATCGATTTCTCCAGATGGAAGACACAGAAATCTAATTGACTGCATCCACTGGAAGACAAGATGGAGAAGCTCAATATTAACAGCTGAAATCAGGGCAGGGACTGACTGTGGAACAGAGCATCACTTCCTCATATGTAAGTTCAGATAAAAGCCAAAGAAAATTAAAATAAGTCCACTAGAGCCAAAATACAATCTTGAGTCTATCCCAACTGAATTTTGGGAACATCTCAAGAACAGATTTGACAAATTGAACACTCATGATAGAAGATCTAATGAGCTATGGGAGGACATTAAGAACATCATTCATGAAGAAACCAAAAGTTCGGACCACAGAAAAGTGGGTGAAAGGAGACGTCGGACAGGGCAAGATATGACAAAATAATAATTTATAAATTATCCAGGGCTCA